CTCAGCAACCAGGGACGCTGGGAGTTTGAGACCTTTTGTCATCCTTCTGTTTTAAAATCTTTGGTCGTATGCGCCAAGATCTCGCGTACGGATCCCCGATAAAAAATATGCAAATTTCTTTGATGGGAAACGATTCTATGAACAAAACAAAATAGAAAGCTGAAACTTTGCAAAGATATTCCTTTTTGCATGTATAAACTAAAGATTTCAAACTCAGCTATTGCACAAATGCTTATATCGCGCGTACAGTCACAACAAAGTTAGCAGTTGACACTGTGCTAACTCGAAAACTGGTCGGAAAAAAGTAGCTGAAACATTGTCAAAATATTTGATGTTTCGTGTGGAAGATAGTATGTCCAAATTTAGTTTCGATTTGGACTTGCGCCACGACTTAGGACGCTTCAAAGAAATTTGCAGCGTTATTTTGCTTACCAGAAAAGCTGTGAAGCCGAAACTTTGCAAAGGTATTCTATATTCACGCATAGTTTTAATTCGGACTGGAGATAAAATTCCCTGCACGCAAACATGACAAATGCTCAATTTTATCACAAAGTCAGAAGCGAGTGCATTTTGCAGATTTCATAATCCTCTCCCGACTTCCAATTTGCTTTTTCTCAGTGGACGAGCTTTCACTAGAAAAATGATAGGGCTTCATGCATAAAGGTGGCAAACACGCAAGCTGGAAGTCCATGAGGCCCATAATGCAACACCTTCATCCCAACCGACGTCCTTTCCTTCTGCTTGCGAAGAAAGGCCAAAACACGGCCAATATAAGTCTAAGTGTTAAACTACAACGTAGGGACATTCCTGCTGTTAGCGATCTCCAAGTTTAGCGCAAAAACGTATAATAACATGATTGCACCGGCAAGCCTGACACGTTGCAGCCTTTTTTTGCATCCTTGAAAAATTCAAGAAACGCAACGTGGAACGACAAGGCTTTCACTAAATTATTTCTTTCCAGAAAAAATTGAACTTGAGAGCTTGGAGCTATATTTTTCAACAGTACACAAGGCCAAAAATTTCAGCTCAATTCACATCTGGCCTTTGGCTCAAATTCAGGCTCGTTCCGGAAATTTACACCAGAGTACATTGGATCTTCAGTGTTTTAAGACTCAAGGATTTTAAGACTCTAAATTCACTAGTTTGGAATTTTAGTGAATTGGAGATATCAGCACGAGTCAAAAAACAAGGAGTATGAATTTTTTGCCAGCATTAGCACAGAAATGCGCGTTTTACCTGACCAATCGTAGATAAAAGCTTGAATTGCGATGGATCCGCTTTTTCGCCCTCTTTCGCAACCTCAATAATTCCAATCTCAGACGTTGCTGCTTTTGCTGTTGATGATGATGGTGATATTGTTGATGCAAATGCTCTAGCTGTCGCCAGTGATGATGATGCACATGAATCGTTATTCGATGAATATCTCTGGAAAATGCAGTGGTACCGATCAAAATCATCCATTTATATGAAACTACACTGCACTTTATTCATTCAAACTGGATACAAATTATTGCTAAATAAACCCAAAGCTTTGAAGTTAATAATTCAGCGGAAGCATATTGGCCTTAATCTAGGAAAAGCATATTTTTCGCAAGCAATTTGTAGTAAATCTCATAAATTCCATAAAATTAGGATTGTTTTCAAAAAAACTAGTAATGTTAAAGTCAAACACTTTCCCTATTCACTCTCTGAATAGAGGCTCTTGGAAATTTTTCCGAGATTAGCAAGTGCCAAAAGCAACCACTTGCTGGCAAATGCTGTTCATCCCCCTAATGTTTCGGTCTCCCGACATGCCTGGTTCCCTAGTGAATGATTTTCTTATCAAAAACTCTCGCGAGCTTGCGCACGGGGCTCTGACGTGAGTGAGTGTTGGTGCTTTAGCCTTGAGGTGGCACTTGGTCGAGAAACCCACTGGGAAAACTTTAGCGTCGAGGCCTACTTGGTTGCCGAGTTAAAATATGTACTCACGCACACCTACACGCACACACAGGCACACACACATACACACACACACACACACACACACACACATACAAACAG